AAAAACTTTGAGAACCACTCTAACAAAGTTAAGTCAGGTCCTCTGGATGGATTAAAAAAAGTGTTGAGAAACGTTATGTCTTTTATCCAAAAGACTGTCAGTTTGAGGAGCTGCAATAGTTTTGAATTGAACTGAATAAACACAGTCTTATAAATAGCCCCTTCTCATAGGGGATCAACCAGTTTGCAGGTGACAACCAGATCTAGTTGTTCACATGATAACGGAGGACGAGCAGCCTAACAACCAATCGTTAGAGCCCTGATGGCCGCTTGCTGTTCACAGAGGGCTGAGTGATACTAGCAATAACAACATTGTAAGAGGGGGACAGTTGGACATGGACAGTTGTCCCACTCTTCCAATATGTTGTTAGGCTGATGGTCCTCCTTTTACATGCGAGTAACTCGTTTTGGTTGATCCACTATGAGAAGGTGCTACTTATTCAAATTCAAATTCAAAAATACTTTATTAATTCCAAAGGGAAATTAATTGTTGTTGTAACTCGTTATCATCATTTCATTAAGAGATGTTATAGATGCTGATGGCTGTAGGCAGGAAGGATCTCTAAAGGTTCATTCCACAGTGGATCCTAAGAAACTGGCTGCAGATGCTGTCTGATCCGTCCACCCAGACTCGACTGGCCTCTCGGTTCCCCCGGGCTGTAGGACCGCCCGAATGCCGGGCAGATCTCCTCCCAGAGCGATGGCCACTCCTCCCAGCAGTCTGCCGAGCTCCTCGTCGCTGCGGACAGCAACTGTAGGTGCCGAGGGACGATCTTGTCCTTCCTCTGTCATGAGCCGTGTTTCCTGCTAGTTGTTTCCATGGTTACGCATCATAAGGAGGGACGCTGATCAAGATGGCGCCAGTGTTTGAGGCTCGCTGTCTGCTGCTCCTACTATTTTTTCTGTTGTCTATTTTTATCCTCAATGCAAGTGTAAACGCTCAGATTGTCTATGATCGCCAAAAATTGCTAGACATTGGAGCTTCGATTGGAGCCTCGACTGGTAATATGTTATCGTGGAATCCTACTAGTGGAAAAACCCCGCCCTCGTTGCTGGGCATTCCAGCTTACCTGTGTCGCTTCTGGCCTCTACCTTTTCGACGGAAGCGTCGTGGCAAACGTAGCGGCTGGTTGGTGCGTTTGAAGGCTGCTTTGGGGCATCGATGTCCAGACCCATTCAATGTTCGTGGGCGGGTGCCGCGCCTCTACTTCCCGTTACGTGCGTTGGATCCTGTGGGTACCTGTTTAGTGCCTGTTGATGGAGGCCATGATGGACTGTTCCAGCCCCGTTTTCCCTGCACTCCTCGGCCCTATAGACGTGTGGTGAATCTTCACAACCTGCGACCTCTTCGCCGGGAATCTCGGACGTCAGATGGTGGCGGAGATCCGCCAATCTCTGCCAGGATCGGTCTGATAAATGCTAGGTCGCTAGCTAACAAAACCTTCGCCATTAAGGATTACTTTTCCTCTCAAAGCCTGGATTTCTTATTCATAACGGAATCTTGGACAACTGGTATGGGTGAGTCCAGCGTTTTTAATGAACTCTTGCCGCAAAACTGCTGCTATTTCAATTTTCCAAGGATGTCTGGACGAGGAGGAGGAATAGTAGCGGTTTTTAAAAGCTGTTTTACTTGTAAACAGTTGCATCCAGTCCGTTTTGGTAGCTTTGAGCTTGGTCTCTTTGAACTTCTTAGCTCCCACACAGTGTTGTGTGCGGTGGTCTATCGGCCCCCTAAATATAACAAAAATTTTATAAGTGATTTTTCTGATTTCTTGGCTGATATCATGCCACGATATGACAGAGTTTTATTGGTTGGTGATTTTAATATTCGTATCTGTTGTCCTACTTCACCTATGGCTCAGTCGTTTCTTAATGTTATTGAGTCTTTTAATCTTGTGCAGTCTGTAACTGGTGCTACCCATGAGCATGGACACACTCTTGACTTGGTTTTATCTTATGGTCTACCAGTTTTTAATTTAGTGATTGGTGACCCGTTATTTTCAGACCATATGCCTGTTTTATTTGAGATAAAGCAGTCTATTACTAAGGTTAAACCATGTGCACCAGTTCGGTTCTGTCGTGTTCTTAACCCTTCTACTGCTGTTCAGTTTTCTTCTGTTTTTAATAAGAACTGTACAATCCCAGAGACTGTCAGAAATAAAACCGAGGATATCAGCAACTGGTTTTATTCTACTAGCAAAGCAGCTCTGGATTCGGTGGCACCGTTAAAAACTAGACTTGCAAAATCCAAACATGAACCCTGGTTAAATGACGACACTCGGGCTGCCAGGAGGAACTGTCGTAAAGCTGAACGAAAATGGCAAAAGGACAATTTGCAGGTGTCGCTGCAAATATTGAAGGAATGCTGGCGCTGTTATCAAAGGATTGTAAAAGACGCTAAAAGAAGATACCTGACAAATATAATTGTATCAAACAGTTGCAATCCAGCTATTTTATTTAAAACTATTAACTCTGTTCTAAATGCCCCACATGGTGCTTTTGTGGAGACTTCCCCTGCTGTTTGTGAAAGCTTTTTAAACTTTTTTGTTGAGAAAGTCACTTCTATTAGGGCACAGATCATACCCATTGTGTATGACCCTATTGATACTGTGTCTTGCCCTGCTGTTTTTAATAGCTTTGAATGTGTGACTTTGCAATCCCTGCAGGAGGTCGTTAGTCACTTGAAGCCAACTGGTTCTCCAGATGATGCTATTCCACCTCGACTGTTCAATGAGGTTTTTAATACTATAGGTCTGTCGATCCTTGCTCTTGTTAATAGTAGCTTGTCCTCAGGTGTTGTTCCTGAAAATCTGAAACATGCAGTTGTCCAGCCTCTAATTAAGAAATCAAATTTGGATCCTGCTGTCCTAGCGAACTACAGACCAATTTCAAAATTGCCTTTCATCTCGAAAATTCTTGAGAAGGTAGTTTATAAGCAACTAATGTCTTATCTCATTGAACATAATATTTTAGAGATTTTCCAATCTGGTTTTAGATCACTTCATAGCACAGAGTCAGCTCTCTTAAAAGTTTTTAACGATATATTTTGGGCAACTGATTCTGGTGACTGTGTTGTTTTGGTGTTGTTGGATTTATCAGCTGCTTTTGACACAGTTGATCACAGGATTTTAATTGCTCGTCTGGAACAATATGTGGGCCTTGGTCAAACAGCTCTAGACTGGTTTAAGTCTTATTTGACAAAACGCACTTTTTGTGTCTGTCTTGATGGCAATAGATCATCCTCTGCTCCTCTATCATGTGGTGTTCCGCAGGGCTCAGTCTTGGGTCCTCTTTTGTTCTTACTGTATCTCCTTCCTCTTGGCTCTGTTTTTAGGAAATACGGGATTGCTTTTCATTGTTATGCTGATGACACACAGATTTATTTACCTTTAAAGAAAGCAGATTCCACTTCTCTTCGGTCTCTGTTTCTATGTTTGGAGGATTTGAAGGCATGGATGGCCCAAAATTTCTTGAAATTAAATGAAGACAAGACAGAGGTAGTGATTTTTGGCAGCTCGAATGAAGACTCTCTGCCTGTTGATTGCTCTTTGGCTCAGTATGTCAGGCCAGTTGTTACAAATTTAGGGGTCAAGATGGATGCAGGTCTTAGGATGGAGTCTCAAATTAAAACAGTTGTAAAGTCAGGCTTTTTTCATTTGAGGCAGCTGGCTAAAGTAAAACCAATTCTTCCCAGACAGCATTTTGAAACAGCAATCCATGCATTTGTGACCACACGGCTAGATTACTGCAATGCACTTTACATAGGTATTAGTGATTCATGTATTTCCCAGCTTCAGAGGGTTCAGAATGCAGCTGCACGACTTTTAACAGGTACACGGAAATTTGACAGTATTTCTCCTGTTTTGGCCTCTTTACATTGGTTGCCGGTGCATTACCGGATTCATTTTAAAATACTTTTATTTGTTTTTAAAGCTTTAAATGGCCATGCCCCTCCATACCTGTCTGAGCTGCTACATTCTTACACACCCTCTCGTTCACTCAGGTCAGCTGACCAGTTGTTTCTGAAGGTCCCGAAGACAAAGCGTAAGCTTAGAGGGGACCGAGCTTTTTCTGTGATAGCTCCCAGGCTCTGGAATGACCTTCCATTGAACATAAGACAGGCCTCTTCAATTGAGGTTTTTAAGTCCCTTCTTAAAACTCATCTTTTTTCTTTGGCCTTTTAGCACAATCTGAGATGTTTTACCTTGTTTTATTGTGTTTGTATTTTATTTTATTATTTTATTCCTGTTTTAAATTTTACCCTTCCATTTTATCATTGTATTGTATTATATAATTGTGTAAAGCACTTTGGTCCTGTTGGGTGCATAAAGTGCTCTATAAATAAAGTTGGTATGGTATGGTATAAGAAATGTCTTAAACTAAAAAAAGAGGAACCAATCATCCAAAACGTGATTTACATCCAGAAGAGGAATTATAAGACGGAGTTTATTGCAGCTCCTCAGACTGACAGTCTTTTGAATAAAAGACGAAACATTTCAACATTTCTATTTTTATTTTTTTAATCTGTCCAGAAGACCTGACAGAACTTTGTTAGATTTTTTTTCTACCTGGATTATTGAGCATGCAGCAGGATATTTTGAGAACCACCGTTTTAGTAAATATTGTTAAGTAGCACTTTCTCATTACACTTGTATTTATTACACCATATTAAACTTGTCAGATCTGTTCATAAATTCATATACTACAGTGTTCAGCCAACATTTCTTTAATTTGGCCTGGAGTTCACCATTCTGATGAAATATGTATTTTTTTGTGTGTGTCCCTCGGTTTAAGGGAAGAAAAGAGATGACAAATAGAGTAATTAAAAAGCCTCAAGTGCTTTTAAAAAGTGCAGACCTGGTTTGAATTCACAGTAATAACTCTGGTAGTGACGCTTAAAATATGTGGATTTTGCAAAAACAAAAAGAAAACTTCAAACTAAAGACTTTTAAAAATGATCAATATGTTTGAACACTTTCTTCTTCTTTTTTTTGTTCTTACCAGAGCGACCATCCCTCTGGATATCCACGTGGTGCCAAGCACCATCGCTGACTTTAGCCTGGGTGGCCTTGACTTTGACCGTCCCAGAGCCCATGTCTAGAAGCAGGTACAGCCCACCATCCAGCAGCTCCACAGCAAAGAAGTCCACCTTGTTGTTCTTCTGGTTTTTCAAGTCCCGTCGACCCTGAGGCTTCCCGTGGGTGAAGAGGATCAGCCCGTTGGGTTCCGAGGTGCGGAAGTCAAAGGAGATGGAGCCCACGCGTTTGGTATTCCACTTCGGCAGGGCCAGGTAGGAGTCAGGGGTCTCAAAGTTTATCGGGTCGAGAGTGGGAACGTTTTCACACTTGAAAACCACATCGCCTTGGAGCTTCATCTTGGGGTCAACGATGCGGGCCAGGCGCGACAGCTCCAACCGGATATCGTTGTTTTTATACACCACCTGTGTAGGATATACAAGAAACAGGCATAAAATGGTTCTGATACACGCAGTGCAAGTGGAGATGATCATCAATCTGAGCTTTATGTTAGAACAGCTTATTCTGCTAATATTTCAGTGCAGTCAAGAGTGAAAATATAATATTTCTTCATAAATGAATTGTACTCCAGTGCACACTGTGATAATATGGGATTATGTTCTAGTGTTATTACACACTGCAGATGCAAGGACAGCTGGATCAATAAAAACTAATATCTTCAAAGAATTGTTTGTCTCAGTGATTTTCTGTTTCACCTTCAATTTAGTCAAGATAAAAAAGAGATTGTAAACAAATGCCTGAGTGTATTTTAGTTCGATTGAGCACCTAATGCCAGAGTGAAGAGCGAGAAATGATGAATAAATTATTGGCGAGTCGTTCTCTGTAATGTATAAAAAGTTCTAGCCTTTGTGAATTATGACTGAAGGTCCATGAAAAGATCTGTAACCCCAGGAGACTATTGTTAATATATCAATCCCACCAACTCCATAATCTAAAAGTAGAAAGCACTATTGCAATAGTCAAATACACACAAATACCACAGAACAGGGGAGCAGAAAAGCTTCAGTGTGAATCCAATGATGCAGAAAATTGAGTTATTATTTTTAGTTTGTTTATCTTTATGTTTTCCAAAGAAGAAGTTAGATGTTTTTTTCAGCCATACAGGACAGGGTGTGTGGATATGAAGCAGCACTACTGTTAGTCAGAAAACAGCTGTCAGCAAACAGATTTTAATGCTGTGGGATTACTGATAATCCAGAAAGATTTGACAGTAAATCCACACAGGTGACCCCAGCCTCAGCAAAATAAGATAAATAAAGAATATGTAGAAAAATAAGGAGAAGGAAAGTTATAAGAATGAAAACAAGAAACAGAATGAAAATATCTCAGCGATGAAGTATTTGATTTCAAAAAGTGCCTTTGCATACCTAGGGTTGGACAGTAACACAATAATACCATATATTATGTGGTTTGAATATCATTCATAGACATCACATCAATTATATGGGACGGAGACGTTTTCCCCTCACGTGTAAAAAGTATTTGTTTGGAAACACCCCCCCCCCCCCCACACACACACACACACACACACACAGTTACCATGAAATATTTGTTCACCCAGCACTGTTTCTATTTCTTTGTGAATTAATCCAAATTCCACTTGATTAATAGGAAAACACTCAAATGACTAAAAGTCCACTCTGGGTTCTTCAGGTTACCTACAACAAGTCTCTACACAACATGCAGTGTTTCCCCAAGGTCACTTGACTTGGCAGGGCAGTCATCTCTTTGGGGTTTTTGTCAACAAGATGGGGGGAGGAGGGGGAGACACCTCTGTGTTGCGTGCTAGCTTAGCGCTACATTAGTGCCAGCAGTTGCTGACCCATTAATTAATGCCCATTAAAATACACCAGAATGCAGGAAACAGTATCTACTTTAATTTTCTGGGGGAGGATGTCCAGATCTTCCACCGTTGTGTCCCCTCCACATTACAAATTCTTCTGATGCCAATGATACCGTCCATCCACTTTCACTAAAATAATAGGTCCAGGACGGAGAAAGAGATACCAGGTCACTTTTCCAAGCAACACTCTCTAACTCCTCAAGCAGATTCCCAAGGCATTCCCAAACCAGAGAGGGTGTTTAATCTCTCAAGCAAGTCTGGGGTTTGTCCAAATGAATTCCTTCCAGTAGAATATACAAAAAAAAAAAAAAAAATCCAAAGGAAGGCATCCAGGAGGCATCTAATCAGATGTCCAAACCAACTCAGCTGATTTCTATTGATTGAGAAGATCAGTGACTCTACTCTGAATGCCCCCCCTAAGGATGAGCTTGCCCTCATGTTCCCTATGGAGAAAACTAATTTCAATACTTAGGATCAAGATTTGTTCAAGGTGATTTTACATCCACAAGACACCTGTGTCTGCCTGTGCATTGCAGATCCTTGGACAGTAGTAGTGATAGATTAAAACTACCTAGTTGAGTTTGTGTTTAGAAAACTTGCTGTAAGGCTTCTCCTAGTGTTCCTGTTGTGTAACAGGGTTGTTTTTCTTTAAGTAATACTTACTGTCGAGGAGAAGAGCCCACCAGCCTTAAGCACTGGTACAAATGATTGCTCTGTTGTCTTAACACCACAGCTCACTCATGCTATGAACAATGAGCAAATATAGTCTAACAGTATTGTGTTCATTTTATGGTTGTAAAAACAACTAAACAAGATTTCTATCACAACGTTTTATAACAATGCAACAATCATCAGAGCATAGGTTGAAGAAAACAAGCTGCAAACACGTCCCCCCCAAAGTTAACATTCAGCTGTCTCTTACAATAAAAGATAAACATAATTATGCAGTAGATCTGTTGGGTCACACTATGGAAGAACAAGAAAAAGAAGAAAAAAGATTCGTACAGATGCTGTGTAACTCAGAGATGATGATTTCCTCAGTTATGGGACTCCAACAATGCAAGCTTCCTACCTGTGGGAACTACAAGCACTGTTACATGTTTAGTTTGAAAAATGAGAATTAAAAAAACTGCTAGAAGCCCTTAAGTACTCCATAATTACATACATTAGTAACAATTTATAATAATTCTAGGAAAACTAAAATAACACACAACAGGGTTTAAACTGAAAAATAATTTAAATTCATTCTTCCCCACTTTAATGTTAACGATGAAAACAATGAAAATGGCACAATGCAGTGCACGACAGGCATCAACTAGTAATTTAATGGATGCCAATGCAGTCATGACATTCATAAATCAACTTTTTCTGAAAAGTCCAATTGTAATATGGCACCTACTTTTATAACAATCCAACCTGACAAAATGCCTACATTTTCCAATCAGTTCAGATCTTTATTGAAACTTCGGGTGACACTGGGTTTATAATAATGGTTAAATGACACAAAAACTCAAAGATACAAGATATTGAAAGCAACCTAGGTTCAGCCACAAAAACGTGATGTTTTAAAAAGACATTATAATGTTAATAGTCACGCAACAAACCAATTATTGTAAAGTGCTGCTTAAAATGTAAAAAAAAGGTTTGGTTGATTGATTAAGGTGCATTTATGGCACTTGGAACAAAGGGAAGTTTATATATATTGCACTTTTCCCAAGGTAGTTAAACTTTGACTAGACGGAAGAACAAACTCTTCCCATCAGTGGTGGTCATTGGGGGTAAAAGTTCGCTGGCCCTCTAAACTATTGGTTTGGTTTTTGTTCCCCTCCACTAAATTCCTGACGACAGTTACTTTTTGCCATGTTGGATAAGAAGTGCCAGTTCAGGCATGTGGTGTCCAACGTTCTGTGACCCTTTTAAACTTTGAATGGTGTTTTTACTGTGACATGTCGCTGAGATATAGAAGGGAAAAAGGGAGGGATTTCCTAACTTTATACTAGAGCCCAACCGATATAGAAATTTTTGCTATCACCAATGCCGTTATTGGGAGGGGGAGGCTAATGCCAATAACCAATGGCTGAAATTTTTTGAACTTTGTACGTACCCCCAAGATTGCAAGTAAATAACTACTTTTAAACCTGTTTTATGTCTTGAAACAGTCTTCCTAACATGCGTTCACATTTTCTACCCTCCACTAGTTTTCAAGTGTGTTCCAAAACTATAAATTAAAAAAATAAACACCCTTCCCTGTTCATTGTTTAAACAGTCAGTCACGTATGGTGAATGACTAATTAGCAGGTTAATGACCAAAACAGATTTTTTTTTTTCTTTGCAGATAAGTAAATATTTCAGACAAACAATGCATTTCATTGAGGATGACAAATATAATGTTATTAACACTGATATATTTTACCTCTACGTTAGATTTATTGTTCTGGATAAAGTTTTGTAAGGCAATTGCCTGTGCTAGGTTATCTAAAAGCTTGCTAAATTGAGAGGGTACGTAGCTAATGACAAGTACATAGTATTGCTTGCAGCTTCGGCTGTGCTGAAAGTGAAAGTGAAACCTAATAGCAATGACATGACAGTAGTCTTCATGTGCCCTCTGCTGTATACATTGTACAATTACAGCTGGTTCCAGCATTTTAGGAGTGATAATTAGACGTGTTTATATCGGTGCATAATGGGACAATTATCACAGATACCGAAGATACGTCCCCACACATCTATATCGGGCTAAAATATCAGCCTCCACTGATCTATTGGTTGAGCTCTTCTTTACACACTGGTATAATTTTTACTTTTTGAAGTTTTTTCAAAGCCATTAAGGAGCAGCAAAATCAAGTTCAATGAGAGAAAAAAATTATAACTGAACAGTAATATTTTACAAACTACCTATGTGAATGTACCTGTGCATGTAAACTAGGGGTGTAACAATACATCAATTTACATTGATATATCAATTAAATGATTAATGATTCAATTACATCATGGCAAAACTAAAACATTGATTCATATCGTCATCTTTAAAATACGCTTTTATTTTAAAATTCCCAAGGCACGTCTGTGTCACCATTTCCGTGTGCGGCTGTGCTCTTACGGCCGCCGAGAAACATAGTCCTTCCAGCGTGTCCTGGGTCTTCCTCTGGGTCTCCTCCCGGTGGGACGTGTCCGGAACACCTCACCAGGGAGGCGTCCAGGAGGCATCCTAAACAGACGCCCGAGCCACCTCAACTGGCTCCTCTCGACATGGAGAAGCAGCTGCTTTACTCTGAGTCCCTCTTGGATGATCGAGTTTCTCACCCTATCTCTAAGGGAGAACCCAGACACCCTGCGGAGAAAACTCATTTCGGATGCTTGTATCCAATATCTCGTTCTTTCGGTCACAACACAAAGTGCATGACCATAGATGAGGGTAGGAACGTAGATCGATCGGAAAATTGAGAGCTTTGCCTTTTGACTCGGCTCTCTCTTCACCACGACAGACCTGTACAGCGCCCGCTTCACTGCAGACGCTGCACCTATCCACCTATCGATCTCACATTACATTTTTCCCTCATT